CCCCCCCCCCCCCCCCCCCCCCCCCCCCCCCCCCCCCCCCCGGAGGATATCCGATAGTCTTCAAGCTAAAGAAATAAACTCAGGTCTTCCTTCTTCCTTACGCATGTCCCAGCAGCTTCCTCCTGCTAGGTCTCCCCTTTTTCTGGAAAGGCTCTCCTGTGCCCTGGGACACCTGACAATCCACTGCCTGGGAAGCAGGTCTCGTTTCTGCCCTGCTCCTGCCTTGCACTCTAAGCCCCAACTTGGCTTCTCAAAGCCAGTGTCAGGCCCACTGAGGAACTCCTTCTCTCCACCACCCACATCCAGACACCCAAAGGCTCACATTCAGCTTCCAATTTCACCTCTGCCACCCACACCCACTCTGCATTCTCCCTACGAGGCCAGAGAAGATTGCTTCTTCTTTATTTTTTATTATGCTGGAGATAGAATCCAGGGCCTTGTGTACATTAGACATAGAGTGCATCACTGTTTTTTATTTTTGCTTTTTTGAGACAGGATTTCTCTATGTAACAGCTCTGGCTGTCCCAACACTCACTCTGCAGACCAGGCTGGCCTAGAACTCATCAAGATCCACCTGCCTCTGCCTCCAGAGTACTGGGATCAAGGGCATGCACCACCACCGCCTGGCTAAATTTTTGCTGTTGTTTGTTTGTTTTTCAAGACAGAGTTTCTCTATAGCTCTTTATAGTTTGTATAGCTTTGATTGTCCTAGAACTGACTCCATAGACCAGGCTAGCTTCAAACTCACAGAGATCCACCTGCCTCTGCCTACTGAGTGCTGGGATTAAAGATGTAAGCCATTACTGCTCACATCTTTGGTTTTTTAAAGATGTGATTTCACTAAGTTGCCCAGGATGTCAAACTTCCGGCCTCAGCCTCCTGGACAGCACTGAGATTACAAGTGTGTGCCACCATGAGTGATTCAGAGTGAATCTTTAAAAAAAAAAAAAAAAAAAAAAAATACTTTTAAGTGGGTGAGGTTGTGGGCTATGCATGCATGTGTAGTAAGGGTTATGCATATAAGGGCAGAGTCTACGGAAGCCACACAAAGTGTCTGATCCCTAGGAGCTGGAGTTATAAGTGGTTGTAACTCTGATATGGGTGCTGGGAACTGATCTAGGGTCCTCTGCAAGAACAATATGCAATGTTTATCACTGTGTACTTCTCCAGTCCCTCAGAGTGTATCTTTAAACCACAGTCCCCATCATGCCCAGGCAAACCTAATTTATAAGCTGCCATCATTCATTACTGATCAGGGGATGGTATCTCTGTGTCCACTGATCACATCTGGCAGTTTGGAAAAGGCTGAATGTTTGCCTTGCAAAATGAACAAACAAACAAAAAACCAGAAGAATGAGAACAATTTAAAAGTTGGCCAGGCAGAGGACTGGTCTTCAGCTCTCACTGCTCAGGCCACTGAATGGGTTGAAGTCACCACTGGGTGGCCAATAGCTGTTCCGCAGATACTTGAGTAAAATGGGAAGAAGGTAGAAGGAAAAAAGTTGACAAGGTATGGTGACACAAACCTGAAATCTCAACACTGAGGGGGCAGAGCAGGAGGAGAGCTTAAGTTTGAGACTAGGCTGGTTCACATAACAAATATAGCACAACCAGAGCTATAGTGTGAGACGTTATCTCAAGAACGAAACAAAAAGTCCAAGCAATAAGCCAGGCATGGTAGTGCATACCTGCACCACGAAGACAGAGGCAGGGAGATCAGGATTCAAGGTCATCTCCCAAATCTATCTCCCATCTCCCAGTCTGGCCTACATGAGGCTCTGTCTAAAAACAAACAACATCTGTCAAAATAGCCAAGTGGGTAAAACATACCTGAAGCCTGAGGACCTGAGCTCTCTTAGGTCACTCTCCAGGACCTAAGGCTGACTACTGACTACACTGTTGAATGAGGTTGACCTTAGGCCCAGAGGACTTACCTAAGCAAGCCCAAGAAACTGTAACTCCCATGAGCCTCAGGGATTGGGGCCTAGTTAGAGAAGTCCCAGACTACCACAGGACTTACTGGGAGATAAAGTTATGCACTGTCTCTGATAGCAGGTGGGGCTCCCTCACCTCAGAACGTAGGAACGGAAAGGTGCGCCCTTGTAGATGTACTGTGCCAGCCACCACTGCACGGTCATGTTCCAGTACCGCATGCCATCCCGCACCCGCACGCAGAAGTCTGTGCCATAGCAGTCGATGTTACGGATGGTCTCATAGTCATACTCCAGGGAGGCTGCATTCTCCGGACTGGGGGTGAGGGTGGGGTTGGAGATGAGGATGGGAACAGACACGCAGCTCAGCCAGGCCCCTCCTGACTCCTGCTTCTGTCCCAGCCCCATGCTAAAGAGGGGGTTCTGGAGAGGTGCCAGCTCCCTCTCTCTCTGGCTGTGACTTCTGAGGGCCACAGGGGAGGATAGGCCAGAGGGATGAAACCTAAAGATGGGCGGGGTACAGTTCACTAAGAGTGAGGTGCTCTTGTAACTAGTGGAGCCTGATACAGTCACACAAACCTTGAAGGGCTAACCTACTGAGTCCACTGGCAACCAGGCTCAATAATACTGAGAATAGTTTCCAAGTATGGTCCTTCTGAACTGTGGGGCAGAGCAGCTCGCCAGGAAAGTACCCACTCTACAAAGGTGGTTCATGGTTGCCAGGGAGCTAGTCTAGGTCTTGTGACTTTCAAGCATCTCTGTTGCTAAGGAAAAGGCATTCCTTGGCAACAAAGGCTCAGGCTGTTCAGAAGAATTTCAGAACAGGCCTCTTTCCTGGTCCCTGTAATTGTCACCTCCAGAAATATCAGAGGTTTCCAGGTCTCCAATACCAACACTGTCAGCTACGGAGAAAGATGCTGGACCTATGTGAATCTCCAGTGACTTCTGGACATGGGAGGGAAGGCATCCTTTACTGGCGGGACTTGTAGATTTAAAACAGCATTTAATCTCTGCCTGACTTCTCTGCAGGACACTTTCTCTCTAGCAGTGGGAGGCCGATCCATAGCAAATGGGGTAGTGGCAGTAAGTTCACATCCTGGGGTACCACTACCCCCAACACAATGTCAGTTTATGACAACCAGGAGGTGGTACAACCCTACCAAGGAGTAGAATACAATTTAGGACAGGTTGCTAGCCCAGTCCCCAGTTGGAAGGCTCACAGTGGATCCTAGAAACAGAGATTCAGTTCACTATGGGTTGCTAGGGATGCCATTTCCCTATCAACAAGAAGTAATGCTTCCTAAGTTAAGAACCCTGTAATTAATAGTTTTGTGATTTACCCAGCAATGACGTTGCTGGGGGTTGGGGCAGCCTTACTAGTAAAGGGTTAAGCCTCAGCAATTGGGGGAAGATGACCTGTGCTTGCTGAGAGTGGTGCTCTTCTTAGTTGGAAGACAGCAGCCAAAGATGTTATTTCCTTAGAAATAGGGCAACTGGGAGGTGTTGTGTGAGAACATCCCATCATGAGCTGCTGGCTCTAAACAAGACAGGCAGTTCAGGGGGTTGATTCCATAGCCACAAACAGCAGGGCTCTCAGCAAGAAGAAAGGAACCTCAAGCTGAGATGGTTGCTAGGGATATAACTTCCTCAGCAGAGGGGCAGTTCAATTACTAAGGAACTGTTTCTCTAGCAACAGAAGATGGGCCCACTACTACCAAAGGATAGTATCTCCAGCAATCAGGAACAACCTGGTTCTTGTGGTGACTCTTCCATGGCAACACAGAGTAGGCATGTGGTTGTTAAGAGACCATTTTCCTTTCCCTAGTAATAGAGGGCAATTAGCCATTCTGAGGGATGACAAGTGCTGGCAACAAGGGACAGTCTGTAGGTACTAGGAACACATAGTATCCCTCGTGGCCAGGGAAGGCAGGTGATAGTCACTAGAGGGCCAATATGCGCCAACCACAGCTGGTAGCCCTACGCCCTGCTCCCTTCCCTACTAGGGGCAGAACCAACCCTTGGTGGTGGGGCTTGCTGGGTCTTGGGCAGCCTCCCTCCCGCGCCTGACCTGCTGGGGGCTGGGTATTGGCGGGTGGGACCGCCGCCAGCCCGGGCTTTGGCAGCCACAGGGTAGGCCCCGAAGCCCGCAGCAATGCAACTGCACTCGGCTGTTATCCAGGCCACGTAGAAGCGCATGCGGAAGGCGAAGAAGACCGGGATCATGTAGAACAGGCGGGTGGGCAGCGGGCGGGCGTAGAAGGCGTCCTCACGCACAGCTTCCAGTGGGAAGAGATGGGAGGACAGCAGGAAGAGCAGACCAAAGAGAGGGGCTGGCCAGGCGCGGCGCAGCAGGGGCCTCAGGCTGGGCACAGCTTCAGGGAAGGGCTGTTCCAGCCAATCCAGGTAGGTGCGGTAGCGGAAGAATGGGCCTGTGGAGGGTGGCAAGGAGCAGGTGTTGATGCTGTGTATCTGTGCCTTCTATGGAGGTGGGAGGTGAAAGGAGGATGGAGAGGGAAACGGGGAAGGAGAGAAAGAGGAGGAGGACAGGAAGTCTGTGAACAGAGAAGGAGAAGCTGACAACTAGAGAGCTGGGCAACAAGGGCCAAGGGGCCGAGGCAAAGTACTCTACAGAGAGAGGAAAAAAAGGATAGAAAGGCGAGAGACCAGGAAAGACTGTAGGACAGGATGAGCTGGTTTCTTTTTATAAACTCCTTCTGGACTCTGAGGGAGCATGGGTGGTGGAGAGGAGAAAAGCAGGGAGAGGAGACAGTTGTGGTTCCTGAGGTATGATTATGGTGTGGAGCAGGGCGCATCAGTGGGCACTGAATGAAGGGATGGATGCTAAAGCCCTTGTAGGTTCACCACCAACCATGAGTATCCATTTACACGAAACATCTTTAGAGAATAGAGTCAGTCAATGGTTTGTGGGGACGGAAGAGGTTTGGTGTTGCTGACTAAAGGCTAGGTAGCTCCCTTTCAGAATGAGGCTATTCTGTAAACAAATACCGCACTGGTGATGGTTTCACAAGTCTATGGATATATAAAAGCCAGCGAGTTGGAGCATTTTAAAATGGATGCATACATGAATAACAGCTCCAGAAGGTTGTGATAAATAAAGACAAAAAGAAAACCAGGGCTGGGGAATACAGGTCAGTGGTAGAACACATGTGTAACATGCACAGGCCCTGGGTTCAATCCCTAGCATCTCATACAACAAAAACAAACAAGGAATCTAGCAGGCATGGTGGTATATGCCTGTAGTCCCAGATCCTGGGAGACTGAGGCAGCTCCTGAGTTTAATTAAGACCAGCCTGGACTACATGGGGAGACCCCGTCTCAAACAAAACAAAGGGGGCTAGAGAGATGGTTCAGTAGAGTGCTTACTGCTCTTCTAGATGCCCCAGTCCACATGTTAGGTGGTTTATAACTGTAATTCTAGTTCCAGAGGATCCAACTACAGGCACTGTGACATGGTGGACATAGCAAGTAGGCATGCACGCGCGCACGCACACACACACACTTTTTAAAATAAATCAAGTCAAACAAAGAAAGATTCTCATTGGGTAGAGGTGCACACACAGAAGTGATGGCGTGACTTCTATCCCTGATCTCATGAGATGCCAGGCAAGAGCCCATTTCATGCACACTACAGCATGCATGCACAGGTGCACACAAACACTCATACACACTATTTAAAATTCAAAAACAAAGGAACAAGGCCAAACCTGTGAGATGGGTCAGGCCTAGCATGCACAAGGCCCTGGGTTCAGTCCCTAGCACCACATAAACTCATCAGGATGACTCACCTTTCCTTTTTTGTTTTTTGTTTTTTTTTTTTGAGATAGTTTCTCTGTGTAGCCTTGGCTGTCCTGGAGCTTACTGTGTAGACCAGGCTGGCCTTGAACTCACTGAGATCCTCCTGCCTCTGTCTCCCAAGTGCTGGGATTAAAGGCATGTGTCACGACAGTCCGGCTTCATGATGACTTTCTAAGTCAGAATGGTGGTACACACCTGTAATGTCACCTACCCAGGAAGCTGAGGTAGGACAACTGAATGTTCAAGGCTTGCCTACAGAGAGCTTGTCTCAAGATGATAAAAAGTTGTTGGGCAGAGGTAGTGCACTCTAGAGGCAGAGGCAAGTGGATCTCTGTTAGTTCGAGGCCAGCCTGGTTTACAGAGCATGTTCCTGTCTTGAAAAACAAAACAAGCAAAACAAAACAAACAAAAACATCAAGAGTTAACTTGTGAGTCCAAGGTAGGCAGATCTCTGTGAGTTTGAGGCCACTCTCCTACACAGGGTTTCAGAATAATATGGGCTACATAGCGAGATCCTGTTTAAACCAAAACCCATCCAAGGTCCTAGGTTCAATCTTTGTATTACTGTGGCCCCAGCAACCCCCACTCAAAAAAGAGAGATGGAGATAGAGAGAGATAGAGATAAAGAGAGAGAGAGAGATTTTCTGAAACTGGAAGATCCTGAGCTACGAATATTTGTCCCTGGATGGTAGAAACCCTAGGCTTCCGTAGGCCTGTTTCCTTTAGCTCACCCATTGAAAAGGACACAATCCTTCAGGGTTAGTTTCCAGAGTAGACAGATGTGCCAAGACAGGACAGTAGTTGACAGAGTACAGGTAGTCCAGGACAGAGCAGGGACATAAAATGGGAACACGACTCTGGGTAGAGTGAGGCAGAGGGTGACGAGCAATGCTGAGCAGGCGACTTACCTGTCAGGATCCCCACATAGCAGTAGCTGTAGCTGAGTGTCTCCATCAAAGAGGGAACATCGGGCAAGAGGCCCAGGGTCGGCTCCTTGCTGAAGCCAGAGGCTATTTCCTTTCTTTGGGCCAGATGCAGGTCCTGGACTTCACTAGCCAGACTCACCAACTGTGGGAAGAGAGAAGGCAAGTGGTCGGTGCCCCCAGGCCATCTTCACACCCATTTTGTTTCAGTTTATAGGTAGGGCTGAGGTCCTACCTCATGGATGGCACTACCTATTAAGAGTGGTAGAAGAAATGGTTAGGTGGTGGCCATCCCAGGACTCAGTCTGAGGCCCTTCCCTTCTATCTCTCTCTCCTTTTTCTGCTTCCGTACAATTCCACAACTTGATTGACTTCCTTTCTTCCTATCGTAGGGCTGACACAGGGCCTTACATATGCTATATAAGTGCTCTAACACCGAGCCATATCTCAGGTCTCTCTCCCCTTTAAATTCTGAAGCAAGGTCATGCTACGTTGTCTAGGCTGGCCTAGAACTTATGATCCTCCCAACTCAGCTGAACTGAGATTACAAGCCTGAACCACTAGACCGAGCTTGTTCCTTTCTGACTACACTGGGGGAGGGGGAGGATGTCCCAGCTGCCCCTTTAGATCTACTCAGCCTATTTTAACCAGAGACAAAATGTCTATGGCCACATCTGTGTCCTCCTGCTTCCTACTAGCTCAGTGGACAGAGGCCCAGCAGATGGAGACAGGCAAGAGAGGGAAGCTAGGGCTTCCCCTACAAGATGGTTTTAAGTAGGAAGGGTCTCTGAAAATCTTTTCCCTTCTAGGCTCCACAGCATACAGTTCTTCCTCTGACCCAGCTACTGGTCCAGGGTGGATATGTATGTATGTATGTATGTATGTATGTATCCATCTTTAAACAACTCTTTTTCCTCTTCACCCAGCCATTGTCAAAAGACAAAAACAAAACCCTCAAATCACCCTCAAAGCAGCATGTCCCATGGTAACTTTGAATGCCTACAAGCCAGTGTATATCAAGTTGCTTTCACAGTCACCGAGACTTTTTTTCAGACAGGATCTTATACAATCCAAACCATTCTCAAACTTACTATGTAGCAGAGAAAGGTCTTGAGCTTCTCATCCTCCTGCCTTCATCTTCTGAGTTCTGGGATTACAGGTGCACACCATAACACTAGCTTTTTTGTTTTATCTTTAAGGTTTATTTTTATGTCTCTGTGCGTATGGCCTATGTATGCAAATGTCCAGAGGCCAGAAGAGGGTGTCAAATCTCCTGGAGATGGTGTTACTGTTGTTGTGAGCTACTCAGTCTGGGTGCCAGGATCTGAACTCAGGCCTCTGGATGGGAAGCACTGTCAACTACTGAACCCTCTCTCCAGCCCTGTTTTTTGGAGGGTTTTTGAAGGGAGGATTGTTTTTATTTTGGGGGCTAGGCTCTCTCTAAATAGTCCTGGCTGTCTTGGAACTCTCAATGTATACCAAGCTGGCCTCAACTCAGAGAGATCCATCTGTCTCTGCATCCCAAGTCCTGGGATTAAAAGCATGTGACACCATGCCCAGCTTGGGTTTTTTTGTTGTTGTTGTTGTTGGGGTTACATCTATGATCCACCATACTTGACTTTGATAAAAGGATTCTATCTCAACCGATCAATTCCATTCTACTTCACTTCTGTCAGTACCCATGGCAAATTATTATCAAAGAGACAAATTTGCTGTAGCCTCTCTCCTGGCAAACAAACCAAAACCAAGCAAACCAATAAACTTCTTCCTGAGGGAATCTCAGGCCCCTATAGGAGGAAGTCCATATTCTTTTTGTTGTTTCCAAGACAGGGTTTCTCTGTGTAGTCTTGACTGTCCTAGACTCGATTTGTAGGCCAAGCTGGCCTCAGACACCAGCTTCTGCCTCCCAAGTGCTAAGATTACAGTTGTGCACCATCACACCTGGCTGAAGTCCATAGTTTTTAAATGGTCAACAAAGCCCCATTTTGCCTGGCTTCTGCTGCCCATTCAACCACAAGTTATTCAGAAAGTAAAGGTGGCAAACATAGTTTGCAGCAATCTGCTTGATCCCATCTACATTGCAGTCCACACACCCTGAAAGGCTCTTCTTCAAACTCACAGCTGACCAATCCCTGCCTATTGTTGAATTTGCCATATGAACAAAGAACTCTGGAAGCTGGGAGTGGTAGTGCACACCTTTAGTGCCAGCACTAGGGCAGCAGAGGCAGGCAGGTCTCTGATTTTGAGGCTAGCCTAGTCTACAAAGTGAGTCCAGAACAACCAAGGCTACACAAAGAATCCCTGTCTCGAAAAAGAAAAAGATTCAGACCCAGGGCTAAGAGTGAAGTTCAGTTGGTTGAATGCTTGTCTTGAGGCCCTTGGTTCAATTCCCTATAAACCAGGCACTGTGGTGCATACCTACAACCTAGCACTCAGGAGGTGGAGGAAGAATCAAAAGTTCAAAGTCATTTTTTTCTTTGAGGCCAACATAGGGTGCTACAAAAGACTCTGTCCCAAAAACAAAACAAAACTAGACCTGGTAGTTCCAGCTTGTGCCCTTGGGCCAGATACCTTCTCTTCAGGGTCGTTTTCCCTTTGGAGGATGGTTTGCTACAGACTCAAGAGCGTGTTGGCAAAGCATGCTGGGCAGGTACATTCCAGGTGTGCCAAATGGCTTGTGACAGTGCACTTGGGATATCTCCTTCCCCTGGAATGAGTGGAGAGGTGAAGCCCTGCTCCGGAGTATGTAAGAGGTGAACTCTGTCCTCAGGGAGAAGTGAAGTCCTAAGCTCAGGGTTTGGGAAAGATAACAATCCGTAGTCCTCCCCCAACTATGAGAAAGTTTGAGAGGTAAAAGCAAGGAGGCTACCTGGCTCCCAGGGAGACTAAAGGGAGTACTGTTCCCCCAGGCTCACCTTCAGTGTCAACAGCAGCTGGACAGCATTGGTGAAGGGCGTAGGAGTGGGCAGGCCCAGAAGGCTGAGGGCTCGGAAGAAAAGGAGATAGGAGAAGGTCCAGGCAAGAGCCAGGGCATGACAGGAGCTAGAACAGACGTGGGAAGTCATAGTGTTGGGTACTGAGACCTCAGCCTCTGTTTCCTTCTCCTGAGTCTGGCTTCATGACCCCCTCCCATTCAGACAGAAAAGAAAGAGAAGAGGAGAAAAGAGAGAAAAAGAGAGAGGGGGGGAGGGATGGAGGGAGGACTAGTAGATGACAGGCAGTGACAGAAGATGCACAGCCACAGAGAAGAAAAGAATGAGGGGAGTTAAGAGAAGCTTTGTGGTGAAGAAGATATTTTACCTTTCTGCAAGATCCAGAGTTCAGGACTGGGTTACGAATGTCACATGGATATTGAGGACTGGGGCAAATACACAGGAGCAAGAAGGTACAGAACAAGGTGGTAGAGGAAGAAAAACATCCAAGACATAAAGAAACATGAGATAAACAGGAGACAGCAAGAGACTAAAGGAGAAGCAATGGAAGACCCAAAGAGGAAACAGGTTGCTGTTTCTCTGCATCCTCTTTTCTTTCTCACCACCTAGTTCTCACCAGGGCTGGGCCTGAATGAGGGCCCAGGTTCCCAAGATGGTGATCAGAGAATGCAAAGTGTGGGGGCCACAGGTGAATAAGGTGAGCCCCAGGCCCACAGCTGCTGCCCCCCATCTCTTCAGCCCAGGTCCTGAAAGATAAAGATAAAGTATAAGCCTAGAACCTTAGGGAGGGGTGATCCCCACCCCAGCTCCCACACCCTAATTTTCCACTAGATACGGAACCTGACTCACCAGCTTTCTTAAAGAGGAGGCCAACAGGGATTGAGATAAGAAGGACCATTAGATATGTCCATTCTTCGGGTGTCATGGTCTGGGGGAGGAAGGACTCACGGTGAGAACCAGTATTCCAGAGCCTTCCTCTTCTGATAGTAGAATCCCCTATTTTTGAGAAACCAGGCCTCCAGCTCACTCCTCCTTTCAGGAGCCAGAAATAAAGCCCCATCCCAGCCCTCTGCCAATGTAGAAATCAAAAGTACTACTCCCATTTAAGACGCAGACATCCAGACACCTTCCGGACCGGAAAACAATCCTTTTCAAGTCCTCTCTTCTGTGATAACCCAGGAATCTATGTCACCCCCACCCTCCTCTGAGCACAGAGGAGTCCTTTAGACTGTCTGGATCCCCAATCTCCACTAGTTCTTAGAGTGCCAAAGAACCCAGTACTCCCACCTCCGCCTAGCCCGGAGAACGCCAGTATTTAGCATTCCCGCCTGTTTTCCGAGCTCTGGGCTCCTCTTTAACCTGGACCCCGGAGAGAAGGCAATGACCCTGATCCAATCTGCAGACACCCTCTGTAGCCCAGCCCCGCGTGGATCCGATTTTGCCCTAGCAGATCCACAGTCGGTTACGCCACCCAGCCCGGTCACTCTACTGGAGCTGACCCCGCACCCTGCCACCCTACGATATTCGCGACGCCACCATACAAACCCACCGGGGCCCACCTGAACCGTCCGCCGGCCAGAAGGCTGCGGAACAGCCCTCTTTCTCGACCGCCTCGGCTCGGGCCACGCCTCCCCAGCTCAGCACGCCCCCGCACTGCCGGTTCCCGAGGGCGCCGGCGGGGCTGAGCGGTTCAGGACCCGAGAGTGGCTGCTGTACGCGAATCTGCACCGTAGCAGAAGCCAGAACACCAGCGTGCGGCAGGACGCTCCGGGCCGCGTTCGTTCTGGGAGGCCCCAAGGCAAAGAGCTGCCAGTACGTGAGGGGGCGGGGTTTCGGGCCAGGAAGGCGGGGCCCAGAGCGAGGAGTCCGGAGGAAACGGGTTGAGGCTGGAGGAGGCGGGACCTGGAGCCCAGCGTTCGGAAAGAGGCAGCTGAATTTCGGTTTCCTTCGGGCACCCTCGGTAATTCAAGCTCGCGGCGTGGAGGTGGGGCCACTAGCTTCGGCTAACTTCAGCGACAGCCGAGTTCTAAAGTCACGGCTCGGAATTGGATGAGTTCATAACCCGGCCGGATGTAGGCGGGGGCCTCTCGCTTCGGCGCGTTTCCAAAAGTCGCTGTTTAGCCTTAGGCGGGCTCAGAGACGCAGCACGATGTGGGCGGAGCCACATGCTTCGGCTTACTTCGGAGAGAGTCGGAATCGGGCGGGGTGGGGGAGTCAAAGAACAGCAGGATGTGGGCGGTGTCACGTGTCCGGGCTTATTTCAGATAGCTGAGTACTTTTGAGGTCAGTGTCAAATGCCAGTGAGGGCAGAAATTTTTACCTAACTGTGAAAATAATCGGGTGCAAGTGAACTTGCTTACTAACAGGCAAAGGCAGCAACTCTCGAAGCACCGAGCCTTGTTTTGGGGAAGGAAGGCGGAGCCCCAGAAGAACGATAAAAGGCGATGGGCGAGATCATTCGCAAGGGGCGGGGTCCACGTGACGCGTGGGCTTGGGGGCGGGGCCAAAGCGGTGACCCTCAAGGTCCCACTTCGGGAGACCCCAGCGGCTCCGAGAGCGCTCACCTCGCTTTCCGCCTTGCTGACGTGACGGGATGACGGAGGACGCGCTACGTAGGGCCGGCTCCGCCTGGGCTGAGAGTGCTGGCTAGAGGTCAACTCACTGGCTCTCCCGGAGGACAGTGCGATAGACGGCGCCCGGAGCGCGGCTGCGGGTTCGATCGTGGGCGAGAACTCCCCAAGTTGGGTAGGGAGAGGGCGGGGCCACAGCTGGAGGGTTGACGGGCGCCGGGTAGGCTCGAGTGCCGAACCTCTGCAACTTGGAAGGGGTGGCTGGTTTCGGCTGAGTCGACATCCCCCGAATTCGTTCAGGAGTAGAGCCGAGGTGATCCGAAGGGTGAAAAGGTGTGCGTTCAGGGTGGGACGGGGTTCCCGATTGAGCCGAGCCAGGGATGCTGGACCGTCGAACCGCTTGGGCAAAGCAGGACTGGATCTTTGAAGTCAGACCCAAGGAATCGGCGGGAAAGGCGAACCTCGGAAATCTGAAAGGGGAGGGGCTGCCTCCAAGTTTCTAGAAGAGGGTGTGGCTTGAACAAGCCGCCACCCTACGTAGAGGTTCCTAGACTTGACGGACACAAGCGAAGAGAAGACACCCGCTTTGCGAAATGGGCGGTGCACTGCTATGGCGGGAGGTCTCGCTGCTGAGACAAGATGCGGTGGCATTCGTTGGGCAGAGATGATAGTCAGCAGGAGCTGAGGGGGAGCAGAACAGTGGGACCTGAGCGAGGGGTGTTTGGGGCTTCTGGACAGGTCTTGGCAGTGCCGGCCCCGCCTCTTTGGGGGTTTGGGGGCGGGGTCTTGCACTAGGGGCGTGGAAGGCGTCAGTCGGGTCTGTTTGGGTGACCTAAGCGTCCCCCACTCTGCAGGAGGATGCTGGTGGTGGAGGTCGCTAATGGCCGCTCCCTGGTGTGGGGCGCCGAGGCCGTGCAGGCGCTGCGGGAGCGCCTGGGAGTCGGGGGCCGTACGGTGGGCGCCCTGCCCCGAGGGCCCCGCCAGAACTCTCGCCTGGGCCTCCCGCTTCTGCTATTGCCCGAAGAAGCCCGGCTCCTGGCCGAGATAGGTGCTGTGACCCTAGTCAGCGCCCCGCGCCCGGATCCCCGCAACCATGGCTTGGTAAAAAGCGAAAGGCCCTTGTGGTGGGAAGGCCTGGGAGGGCCTGTCCTGGGAAGACGGTGTTGGAAGGTTTTAAACAGGGTCGGAATTCCAGTCTTATTAGGGACACAGGGTATGTCCTGGGGTTTACTTCTAAGCTTACTTCTCAGGCTCTAGCATCGTTTAAACGCCAGCAAGAGCAGAGTTTCCAGGAGCAGAGCACTTTGGCAGCCGAGGCCCGTGAGACCCGGCGTCAGGAACTCCTCGAGAAGATCGTAGAGGGCCAGACTGCGAAGAAACAGAAGCTGGAACAGGATTCAGGGGCGGCGGATGAAGGCCAGGAGGCCGGTGGAAGCGAAGCTACCCAAGGCAGTGAGACCAGTGACGATGGCCAGGCTCCTGCGGAGCAGGACGGAGCAGGTGAGAAGAGTAGGGTTTAGAGTTAAGATTTAGGCCAGGAAGCTTTGAGGAATTTTAGTTTGAGGTGTTTTGTTTTGTTTTGTTTTGTTTTGTTTTGTTCTGGGGATAAGAAGACCTGGCCTTGTGGGTTCAGTAAATTCTTCTTTGCACCTCCCCCAGACTCTTCATCTCCCCAGCCAGGCCCTTCAAACGGGGTGACCCCCTTGCCCAGATCAGCCCTGCTCATCCAGCTGGCCACGGCTAGGCCTCGGCCTGTAAAGGCTAAGCCTCTAGACTGGCGTGTGCAGTCCAAAGACTGGCCCCATGCTGGCCGCCCTGCCCACGAGCTGCGCTACAGCATCTACCGAGACCTGTGGGAGAGAGGTTTCTTCCTCAGCGCAGCTGGGAAGTTTGGTGGCGACTTCCTGGTCTATCCTGGTGAGTTTGGGTCGGGGCTGTGGTGGCTATACCTTTCCTGATGGTTTTTATTTGTTTTGCATTTTCTCTTTTGTCTCACCTCTTCTACCTATGGACCTAGAATATGACAACAAATATGATAGAGCTCTCTTGAGCTCTTGGAGAATAGTTTAATGACTAGTTTTGTTTGTGACAGAGTCTCATTACGTAGCCAGAACTACCTTGGAATTTGCTATGCTGCACAGGCTAGCTTTGGAATGCAAGGTCTTCTTTTTCCACCTCCCAAGTGCTGAAATTACAGGCTTGTGACACAACATCTGTCTTAGTTTAGTAACTTTTCATAAATACTATCTGTGATACAGAAGACTGGCTCAGAAATCCTTACATATAGCATATAGCTGGACACATTGGCCCATACCTGTAACCCAGGGCTTAGGGAGGAAGAAGCGCTCTGTGAGCCAGCCTGCACAGAGAAACCCTGTCTTGAAAAAAAAAAAAAAAGAGAGAGAGAGAAGGCAGCCCTTACATATGTGCACAAAACATAAGTGCACATTTGCTGCAGGATTCTTTATGGAATTAAAAGATAAAAGCAGCAAAGTCACGGATAGGTTAGGAACACAGCAGTTAAGCCAGGAGAGGTGGTATATGTCTTTACTCCTAGCACTAGTGTGGCAGAGGCAGGCACATCTCTGAGTTTCAGGCCAGCCAAACTGTATAGTGAGATAGCCTCAAAAAAAAAAAAAAAAAAAAAAAAAAAAAAAAAAAAAAAAAAAAAAAAGAAGAAGAAAAGAAAAGGAACCCAAAACAAACAAACAAAAACAGTTGTCTGAGAAACATAGTATTAGTTGTCAAAGAATTAAGTGTAGGATTAGAGTGGGGTATGGTGGTACATGCCTCTAATCTCAGCACAAGATAGGAGGCATAGCCGTTTTGAGGCTAGCTTTGGCTACATGATACCTTCATCTCAACAAAGAGAATAAAGAAAGGGGTGTGCGATGGTCACACCTGTAATCGTAGCACTTCACTTGAGAATCTTGAGACAGGAGGTTTGTCACAAGTTTGAGACCTGCATAAGCAACATAATTAATTCAGGCCAGCCAGAACTGGGTTCAAGACTGTCTGAAACAAAGGGGGAAAAGATGTGGTAGGGTCATGTATGTAAAAAAATACAATCAAAAGTGAAAAAAAATGACAGGTGGTTGAAAATATATGGTAGAAGCTGGGCATGCTGGTGCAGAGGCAGGCGGATCTCTGTGAGTTAGAGGCCAGCCTGGTCTGCAAAGTGAGTCCAGGATAGCCAGAGCTATTGCACAGAGAAACCCTGTCTCGAAAAACCAAGAAAAAAAAAAAAAGAAAAAAATGTATGGTAGATTATATTTTGATGTGGTTATGCAGGTGCATGCATGCCATTTAAATAGCCTTGAACATATATTGAAGTTCTGTTTAGGTCAGAGCATGCTGATGTGATCACCTGTATCCCCAACTACTTGAGAAACTGAAGCAGTATTTCTTGTCCTGGGAGTTAAAAACCAATCTCTGCAAACATGTCGGGTTTCCAGACAAAACCATTGCAGTTTAAACTAACTAATTTAACTCTGTTACTACCTTATTTGTTTATTTTTGAGATAGGGGCTCATTGTTTAGCTCTGGCTGGCTTACAACTTACTATGTAGACCAGGCTGGCCTTGAACTCACAGAGCCTGCCTCTGCCCCACAAGTGCTCAGATTATAAAGGCTTGCCCTACCACACTTAGAAATCTCACAGTTTTTTGAGTTAAGGTCTACTATGTGACTCTGACTGTCCTCAAGACCCACAGGGATCCAGTTGTCCATCTCCCAAGTGCTGGGCGTAAAGGCATCTTTCACCACACCAGAGCTTTTTTTATTTCTTTTTCTTTTTTTTTTTTTTTAATTTTTATGCACATTGGTATTTTGCTTGCATATATGCCTGTGTGAGGGTGTTGGATTCCCTGAAACTGGAGTTACAGACAGTTGTGAGCTGCCATGTGGATGCTGGGAATTGAACTGGAGTCCTCTGGAAGAACAGACTGTGCTCTTAACCACTGGCTCGTCTCTCTAGCCCCTTTTTTCCTTTTTTATGCAAGGTCTCACTGTTGACTCCCAAGCTGGTCCCCAGTTTACCACATGACACAGTTGGACGCATTCTTGTTTCAGCCTAA